CAAATTACTGACCTCTGTCATCATTTTAAGTGGGGGAACTTGCACAATCGGTGGCTGACTAAATACTTTTTTGCCCCACTGTACACACACACACACATATATGGCACTGGGGCCTAAACATTTTTGTACAAAGTCAGAATCTCCTGTTTCTGTAGCTGGAAAATAGGAAAGGTATTCACATTTATTTGTATAAATTTCCTCCTGGAAAATAAAAGATCCACTCCACTCCTCAGTTTTGTAAACATTTATATATCAAGTGACATGACTTAGACAGAGGAAGTGGAAATGGGAACAGCTTGGATTCAGTCTGTCGAGTTTCTTTCCTGTTTACTCTTCCTGGTGCAGCTCGTTGATTTCAGACCACCACCACTGCCCTTCACAATCCACACCTTTTTGTCCAGTCTTCTAAACAGAAGAAGCACTCAGGGCTGTCTTCATCACCCTTCACAGCCAAATATTCCCAAAAGTGCAACATGCAAGATGCGGGCAAAGTTTGCCATGTGCTTAGGAGCTTCCAGTGAAGAGTGAAGCGTAAAGAGAGGACAGTAGACCCGGCTGGCCAATACTGGGGTGGAAGCCATTAAATTCGGCTTACCCTTCTTGTGAGAAGGGGGTTGATAGCTGGTGGTGGACAGGGAGTGTAAGGAGGTGGCAAGGGACCAGGTTTGATCCCCCGGGTTCTCATGTAGGACAGGAACTGGTCGGGAATTTCAGCCAGCACTTCTTTAGCCAGACGGGCCATGCTGAGGATGTGATTTCCTCGTCGGTCAATGTAGTCTCTGAAAGGAACAAACTGAGAGGGGAAGCGAGAGGAAAGGACACAAGGAAAGGAGAGAACAGGAAATAAGGAAATCAGATATAAGTAATGTAAAGAGAAATAAGAGGCGGGGAGTACAGAATAGGAAACATGGACATTGAGAATAAGAGAATAGTAAAGAAAATGACAAAGATGAAAAGTAAAGATAAGACAAATGAAGACAAAGAGGAGAGGAGAGGAAACAAAGAAAAGGTGAATATAGGAAATGAGATGTGGACAAAAAACAGAAAACGCTTATGCAAAATTATGAAAAAGAAAGCAAAAGAGAGGAAAACAGAGAGAAGAATATTGCACGTAGAGGAAGAAATAAGGGTCAAGACAGCGGAGAAAAGACAGAAAAACCAGCAGACTCAGAACAAGAGCACAGAAGAAGGTCAAGAACAATGACCCTTTTCCATTAATCATAAATCCCACATTTCTCTCAACACTTTCTGCTGAGTGAACAGCCTCCCAGCCAGTCAGCCGTGTCTTCGGGAGTATTCTGTACCTGAACAATGTCCCTCTCCGCGTATCGTCCTTGGGATGAGATCCTCTCTTCGTCCCCATCCAGCTCAATCATTTCTGCGGAGGGAAGCGCATCAGTAACACCCCGTCAGGAGGCTTGAACAGCCATGTCAACGTTGCGGTGAGCAAACATGACACACGGTTTTTGTGTTTCAACCTGCCAACGTCATTAGCATGCCACAGGCTTACACTTAGAGTGTTGATAGTCTCAAATGGAAAGGAGTACACAGAATGTGCACGGCTGAGCGTGAAGCCACGGGGCCGTGAGTTACACGTAGCTGCGCACATAAGAGGAACGTGCCCGAATACATATAAGCGCAGCCAGCAATGAGCACCACAGGGACATAAAGCGAATGCGCACTCTGACTTCATATGCGTGCTAATCCCGTTGACTTTGCAGGCTCATTGCTCCCCGTGAGTGAGCTTGTTTTTCCTTTTCTTTTTTTAAACAGAGGACTGCTCTGTGAATTGTAAACACCAGGGAGGAAACACAGCAGAGTGATGTGGCCCTTGCGCATTTAAAATAAAGAAGAAGAAGAATGGAAAAAAAGGAGTGTTGCTGGACTGAAAAGCGAGAATTTATCAAATCCCCTTTACCTCGGCTTCTGTGAAGGAGGAGAGGGAGAATTAAGGGGAGGGTAAGCGGAGGAGTGAAGAAAAGAAAAGCTGCACGAGGAAGGGCTAAACCATGTGGGAGACAAGATAGGAAGCAGAACGAGGGGTGAGGGCAAAAGATTACTGCATGCAACACACACGTATTTGCACGCGGACACACATTCAGCCTGCTTACCATCGAATTCCGCTGGTCCAACCCCAACTATTATAATAGACATGGGCAGAGACGAGGCCTGTAAAGGGTGGAAAATGACAGAATAACCACATCAAAGGCGGCGAAGAAGCAGCGTTCATTCTTTTCACCATTTGCTATCTTAAACCGTGCAGGCTGCCAGTAAAATAGACCTGCAAATGACCAACTATACATTAACTGTTACACTCCAAGGAAAGGAAGCTCTATAGAAAAAATTAAATACCATTGTTAAGGCAGACGGGGCCTTACGTCCTTACTCTGCAGCCGGTTTTATAAAGCCCCTCGCCTGGCGAGATCTGCGGTTTCTAATTTCATGCATCTACAACCTAAATCTCTCGAAGCTTGACAGCTTAATAACAACTCCCATTTACATCTTCCTCTGCCCTGAGCTCCAGCTGAACTCCCGGCCTGCATAGCAATATTGTTTATTAAATCTTAGTTAAGTGGGACAGCAAAGTACAGTTGGATTGATGAAGGTTTTTCAGTGTTTCATAACTTCCCGTGTTATTAGATGGACGCCCAAATTGCTTGAGATATGAAGGGCATGGATCCTCCACGGGCTAGTAAATAATTACTCTCAACTCTCACTTTACAATAACATTACATCACACGGGGGGCAAAGTGGAAAAAGAAGCAGGAGAGCGGATGCGCGTTGAGTCCGTGCGAAGCATTAAGCCCAAGCAGCTGAGGCTCCACATATATGAGCTCGCCCAAAATCGTTACACACATTAACTCTGATCACTCTAATTAGAAAGCAGAGTTATTAGAGCTGAACATAGCAGCGTTGGGGAGGGGGGGAGGGGGTGTAAGGGACGTGGTGGTGACCAGACTGACCCTCTCTTCCATTACTTCCCTCATTAGTAAAGATGAGAGACAAAGAGAGAGGGAAGAGGCAAAGATAGCAGCTGCACTGCTTTTCACCCTCTCGCTTTCATATTAGATGTTTGTTAGTTTATTAGGCCTCTGTTGGGGTTTTAATCATACCTTCAGGGCTCCTTGCGAGTTCTACAGTAAATTAACTGAACGATTATAAGCACACATTTCACGGACTGCTACAGTAGATCACGTTTAGTAACCCACTGTGCGCTTACCAGTTTAAATAAGTTGAAAAACATTTTCAAATATACATAGACCAAAGGTTAAATGTGAAGTGCTACTGTACATTTACTATGGACTCCTTGGTCTGCGCCATGTCTGTGATCACGCCATCAGAGATGATGAGCAGGATGAAGTACTGTGAGCCGTCTGTCACTGCCGAGGCATACCTGGTGCGCAAAGAGATGATGTGTCAGAGGTTAGGCGATCAAAAAAATGACAAAAAACTGCCCCAAAAAGCAACTTCTGGGTGGAAAAATGAAGTGAAAGTCAAAGCGCCACAAACTGCAGTTCCTATAATTTCCACATGAGGTCGTCTCCAAAAGCGCCTCTGTTAAAGTCACCAAGTTGAAACCATGATGTTCGAATTGTGTCACCCTTTATAATAACTGCATGTAACTGCATTTACTTTTTAGTACCATATGAATCCTAGTAGGCCTGAAAGTTAGGGGCATGGCCATTTTAACAGGTATGCCAACACAGAGTTTAGTTAATACTATCCCAGCCTCACCTCTGTTAATTGTAGCCACTAAACTGGAGTCTCATAAATGGCTTGCTATGTTGTTGTAGTAGTTTACGGACACTGCTTCTTACATAACCAAGCTAACTAGCATAAGCTAATAACATAGCATTTCACCATGGTTAACGGTAAATGGTAAATGGCCTGTATTTGTAAAGCGCTTTTCTAGTCCCTAAGGACCCCAAAGCGCTTTACACATCCAGTCATCCACCCATTCACACACACATTCACACACTGGTGATGGCTATGGCGTTATTTTTGTGCCACTATTCTGAGCGCACATAAAAAAAAAATTGCAGGCGCAAGTGTTGCATTTTGAGGAGAAATTTATTTTGAGCAAAGAAAAACTGAATTTGAGTGAACAGAATTCATTGCTGCGTGCAGAAAATGTGTTTCAGTGTTTGCTATTATTCACACACGCACAATAGCAGCCCCTCTCGCTCAGTTTTTGCATTTGCGCTCGCTCGCAATGTGTTGCTTGCGCTCTCAACATTTCTGCCCGTGTGCGCTCAACTCTTTCTCTACACCGTTATATTTGTGCCACAAAACCAGCCAATCACAGACTTGGATGCAAAAAAAATCTGATTGGCTGTTTTGGTCTCCAATCAGCTTGAAATGACGAAATGCAATATCCCAGAATCCATTTCGTCCAAAACTCAAACGAGGCAGTTGCGGAGAAACAGGGTGTGGCGGAGTTTGAAATATTACTCTTCGGGGTCACAAAATAAACTTTTAAGATATTTTCATGCCAGAATGTTTCTGTGTAAACTTCAAATATCTGCTCGATTTATCAAGACATCACATATTTGCATAAGTGCTCTAATGTTTTCGGAGATGCCTGTTACCCACCAGCTGACCGGGTGGGCACTCGGGTTAAACATAATATATAAGGCTGAACTGACAAAAAAATCACCGACTACACCACCAGGTATTATAGGAAAACTATAAAGCCTTTGAACTAAAACAAACACTGTTGTGACAGTGATGTACACTGTCTTGTTGGTATATATGTATGATTTGTATCACCTTAATGTTTTCCTCTCACCACGTATCAAAACCGATATCATGAGCAGCATTTACAGATGTGGCTCCAGCAAACATCAGCTGATACTAGAAAGTAATATTAAAAAACAGCTGATCATTAAGGTGCATCTGCTGGTTTCCTCTTTCTGGTGTAAAGTGGGCGATAAACAAACAAGAGAGACATCAGCTGATCATTGATCAGTTTCATGATTGAAGTAGCAACAGGAGAGAGAGGGAGGGAGAATGAGGGGAGAAGAGGCAGCTGTGCAACGTAAAGACAGAATAACTTCAGCTTTGTGTCTTTTTTTTCATCGTTGCTGAAGTTCGGGATGAATCACGTTCCCTTTCCCCTCAATACGGATGTATTGTAATTGTTCCAGCCGAGAGTTGATCATGACCAATTGGCTAATCCACCACCTTTCATTGTTTATACCATT